CAGCCAGCATGGCTAGGGAATTCTGGGAGTTGAAGTCCACCCATCTTAAAGTTGCTGAGGTTGAGGAACCCTGCCATAGTGTATTGGGTTATTATCAATGATGGATTAAGCATGCCTGTGATCTAGCATTGTTGCTTGATTTCTTTGGCCTGATGGATGTATTGTAATTCTTGCAGACTCTCTGGAGTTAGTTCTTGCAGTTTCAGCAAAGCAAGGGATAGTAGAAAAATGAATCATTTCATGATTATTCATTTGATCATCTTTTGTCCTTTTATTAGTAGTAAAAGATACAGTAGCAACCACTGGGAAATGGATGGTTTCCAGTACTGGTTGCTCATCTTGCTGGCAGTTCCATGGAACTGCCTTGCTGTACAAAGCTTGTGAATACCTTCCACTTTGGGGGGGATCATACGCACTGCTCTAGGAAACATACTGGAATAAGAGGGATGAGTAAGATCACTTGCACCCAGCACGTTGGGCACTTCCTACCCCTAGGATGGTCCTCCCTGCAACTACAAAGAGCTCTGAAAAAGCTGGCTGAGGTTTCCTCTAGCTCAGGGGTCCCCAAACTCTTCAGCTCATTGATCCCTCTCTGAAGTTTCAGATTGTTCATCAACCTCCAAATTTATCATAGGAAAATAATTTAATACAGTACTACTTTGACTCATAGTAGTATGAATATCAATTATGAATAATAATAACTACAACAATCATGGATAGTCCCATCAACCCTTGGGGGTCAACACTGACCACTTTGGAGAATGCTGCTCTGGCAATCATTATGGGGAAGCAACACAGTTGGTATGCAGACAGCTCCATGCTGGCTTTCACGCAGCAAGAAATTTGCCGCAAATTCCTCCCCGTTTTCCCTTTTCATGAAGCATGATATAAGGTCACTACAGCTCTACAAGGCCTAGCAGCTGCAGGAAGAAAAACTGTAGGTATTGGTAGGTGTTCAAGCCAATGGGAGAACGGCCTCCAGCATCCCGACTTGTAAAACAGAATTTTGCCATTTTTCCTGAACTGTAGGCTGGCAGTGTGGATTCGCAAGGCAAAGAGTCACGCAGAGATGCAGGAGGCACAAATTGGTGCCTCTGGTGCAGTAGATTCATTGCATTTTTGCAG